TTCACCCTGGGCGGATTGAGCCGGCTTCTTCCTGTTATGAAAAGAAGATTCTTGGGATAAATTACAGAAGTAGGGTACCAGGCCTACTCGGATAACGTTCTTGCTTGCCGCGGGGTTCCCACAGACGCAGAGACAGGAACGACCAGAAGCCGCCGGTTACCGATGCAGACGCTCCTTGGATTTTCACCAGAGCCCTTGTTAGGCGGCGTGTGTGTCAGACCTGTCTGCCTTGGGTGGCCCTACCAGGAACGAAGTTCCGGGCGGCATAGCTCTGACACTACCGTTTACAGCCCCACCGACTGTGAGGTAAGGGTTGGACTTTGGGGGCTTACAGCCAAATCACGCAGAAACACCGGTTCTCGTACGATCACCGAAGTTAAGCAGCGTAGAGCCAGGTCAGTACTTAGATGGGGGACCGCTTTTAAGTATAGATAATAATCTTATCTTTTTTAAAGTACAAACCCATTTAATTTCGAGTCAATTTAAAAATAAAAAAATTACCAGGGGCGGCTTCAAACTTCTGAACTGATGTGTGTATATATATATATATATATATATATATATATATATAATGAAGAAATATACTCTTAAGGTTTGCTATATTTATGGGATAAAGTGTTGAATAACAGAGATAGAACATGTGTAAATATATAAGTGAACATTGAAGTCAACACTTAGAGGTGACAGTCTGTTTCATGCTAGACGCAATCGTCGTGGCTTGACGATTGCGTCTAGCATGAAACAGACTGACCTCAAGTGTTGACTTCAATGTTCACTTATATATATATATATATATATATATATATATATATATATATATATACGCTATTGTTTATAAACATGTGTATATTTTTCATTCGCATTTTTCTCAGTAGTTGTAAGTGTCTGTAGAGCTGGTATCGTTTCCGTTTTTGTCATTGGAGATTCCTTTTCCATTATTCCTTGTTCAAATATCTACGTTACAAAATCTGTCTGCAAAGCTCATTTCATGTCCTTCTTAAATACAGTCTACTCATATAATCTGTGACGTTAATGACATATTTTTCGTTATCTTCATTTTAAAGATATGATTATGATGGTAATATTTTAGTTAATGTCTTATCAAGTTTTTGTTTTGAGTTTCTTGATCCAGTAACTTCGGAGTTACTTTCTGAAATATTCGTTATTCTTCTGAGGTATTATCGTTTTTTTTTTTCTATCAAATATGACTTAATACTTGTGTAAGTTTACACTATCCTTCGGATATTAATTTATGCCGAGGGCTTAAATGAGGCACCAAAGCTTAGATTGATTTATGAGAAAACCAGAAGATTGGAAATGGTGAACAAGACAGGACCGCTAACTAATACGAACGAAACACCATAGAAGGTAACATGTTTAATAAACTGAGATTCGACGAAATACATATGTATCGGGCAAAAAAATACGTACAGAAATCGCCACACCTTGATAAGTGCTAACTATGTTGCTCTTAAACCACGCATAGACACGTAGATTTTTTTAAACGGCGTAGCTTAGTTTTGGTACAGAGCTACATGTATGTGTCCTGCGTACAAGATTAAACTGACAGACATTTTTCGCCTCACAATTAAAACACGACAAGTTGACATGAAGAAGTTCATGTCTGGATAATCTCGTACCTTCTGTTATATCTCATTTTTCCTTTTAGCATTAATTTATTGGTATATCACTTTAAAACCTTGGTAGTTGCCACCACCAAAGTTAAGAAGCGTCGAGTCTAGTCACTATATACATAGGTGTCAACTTGGGAAAACGAGGTGCTGTAAGGCTGGATGTATTGGTAGTGTAATGGATAACGGCTCGGAAACGGAAGTTGGACAGTCGAATTTCAATTCCTGTCACGTTCATTATATTCACTCCCGCGCAACCGCTTTGGAAAAGGTATGAATCTAATTTTTGTCACCCATGTATGGATTAATCTGTAAAACCTGTGACAGTAAAAATCCTAATCATCTCCGTTAAATTCGAACTATAGAAAAATACTTATCTGACTTTAAATAAACTGAAAAATGTTAATAAAGCATACAAACTATTCGGTCATCGATGGCACACAGCACATGTCATTCGTGAATGTATATATATATATATATATATATATATATATATATATATATATATATATATATAGACTAGACAACCAATTCTACAAGCTAGGATCGAAACGCGACTCATTTGGTATCAGTCGGAAATTTCTACCACTAAACCATCGGCGCTTCAGCAGAGAGGAAGACGAATTCCAGCGTATTGTTTTTACGAATTCAAACAAACGCCAGACAGCCAAAGTGCTCTGTTCATTAATGAAGAGCGAAGCGTTAACGCTGACAGCTACTGTTTATAGAATTCAACCATCTCTCAACAGTGATCAACTGAAAGATTTTCGAAATTGCCATTCGCATACAGGCCTGTTTTTCTGTATTACAGCTCATCAGTGTGACTAGACAACCGAACGCTTATATATATCGTACCAAATGATTGGAAATTGATGGAGAATTACACTTTTTAAATCATCATTAACTTTCTAAATATTGTGTTATATACCGAAACTGCCGTGTGATACAGTCTGTTTTTGTTTGTCTGGTGAATGTGAGTGACTGTCGTTCCCGGCCTCATTCGGTCTTTCTCTTTCGTTATGGACCTTATCAAGATTCTCAATCTCAACCGTTTTTGTACACCCTTTTTTATCTTAATTGTTTATGTCATATATTGCCAATTTTTTTTGTCTCCCACTCCGTCACTAATGACAGTGTTTCATGATTATGCTTATCACCAAAATACAGCGACCGCTCCTCTTTTTGTGTCTTCAAAGGACAATAATAAGTTTTTATTTTTGTTTGAATGTTTTCTTTCTTTTAGTTTTATTATTGAATTCAGCACCTCTCTCTTTCTTTCTTGTGCGAATTTTATATATATTTTTAAATAAAGTTTTTAAAACTAGGGGCAAATATTTGTACATGTGAAGATTATTTTTTTAAATTAAAAATGTTTTATTAGGATCAATGGGAAAATATGTTATTGTGGTGTATGTGGGATTGGATGGATTTGGATGGCTTATCGTGGTGATTGAGGAAATTGTTACAGTAATTTGGATTAGCAAGGTGTAGGACAGACCGTGTTGACCAGCCATTACATATTTCTCCTTCGATCTGATAGCACAGATTGATGTATCCATTATCCATATAGATTAACTAAGAGCTCTGTCAGGAAGTGAATATATTAATCTGTTATTTTTTTTCATTTGAACATTTTCGGCATTGAGAAAATATTTATCCTATGTTACGGTTTGTAAATAAAAGTGCATAAATATACCCAGGTCAGTGGGTAATATCAAAAGAGTTCATTGTTCTATTGATGCAACAGAAACATTAGAAAACGCATTTGTTTCAAAATACAAAATACTAATTTCTATTTACTGTTGAATGACTATGCCCAATAGAATTCATAACACGCAAGAATAGACATCTGTACAAGAATATTTGATAGTAGTTGCAGATTTCATATCTCTAGTGAAGCCGAAAATATTGAATAGTTTCGAGTGGCAAGATAAACAAAATGGAAATAAGAAGTAATATCCATCTTCGATGACAAAAAAACATAACCAGCAAAATAAAATAGTTATTCAATTTTCAATCACAGTCGCTACATTGAATTACTACTTATTAATATATTAAATTGTTCAGTACGAAACTTCCAGAGAGAAAAGTAGAAGCGAATATTTAAAACGAATATAAGTAAAACTGTCAAAAATTACTTCTCAAATATATATATATATATATATATATATATATATATATATATATATATATATATATATATATATATATATATATGTAACAATGTTTACCCCTAGTGTAGGATCGTTAATTAATTTGAAACTTTTAAAATCATTTATTTTATCTTCAACATCATCACTTGATAAGACACCGAGGTTGATTTTTTGTAGTGATTTTATAACATATTTATGTTATAATTTTTTTTTATAAATAATAATTATATCTGCTCTACTTTGTATTGAGCACTCTTTTAAGAATAGTAATTGTGGGTTTTTAAATTCATTCCGTATATACCAATTATATACTTGGGTATATATATATATATATATATATATATATATATATATATATATATATATATATATATATATATATATATATAACAGGTTACCCGTAAAAGAAAGGATATTAATTTTAGCATAAATTGTCATAACGTCTTCGATCATGTTTCTCCCCATTATCTCCAGATTTGAAGGCGGAAATTACATTTAACCTTTACCATACCATTTTTTCCATCTTTTAGCGTTCATATACAGGAATCCGGTAAGGTGTTTACCAACTTTTATCTTCTTTGATGATTCTGTTTTCTTCAATATGTCACACAAGAATTGAATTATCCACATTCATTTTCCTCATTATATGTCTCAATTGTTCCGAGGGTTTCTTCGTGATAGCAAATATTCGTCTCTTTGTATGCTCTATTTTCCTTAAAAGGTTCTTTTTATCCACATGTTCTCATATTTCCACCATTCATCCATATTGAGTCGATTCATGTGTCTACGATTGCGATGAGGAGATGTTACACTATTCCATCTCATAAATGAGTTCAGATATTACATAGTAGTACAACTGTATTTTAGGATTAATTCACTAGATAAAGAAAACTTATTTTCAAAAATACTGATTATCTACATAAGAACGTCTGCAAAAATATCTCGTTCTACAACCGAAAATCTGAACAAATAACAAAACATCAAAAGATTTAAAACCTTCTTTGTCGTCTTAAGGAATATTCAACTTATATTCGATTTGAAGTTTTGAGTTCGAGCGAAGCGAATATAATTCATTGAGACTTTCCTGTTACTGTAGTCGCTAATGGTAAAAAGAAAATCTCTACTATTTAATTTAGACTGCTCTAAAGTCGTAAATGAGTTTGGAAGAAATAAAATAATCATACTAGACATTACGTATATCTGAATCTGACAAAAAATGCCGTTTTCAACTTATGTTCTAGGTAATCTCGATACTAGATCTCTATCGTGTTCATTTAAATTCAGAATGACGATATCATCTGTTGTCAGAAATTAATGTCTGTTACTAACACATCAGCATTGCTTATTATACAAGTATTATTAGCTTACATATGTAAACGAATTATGATGACTGAATATAAATTACATGCAATTCTCTCATAAAATCAAATGGAGGAAGCACATCGCCACAAAACCGCAAATGATGCAGGTGTTTCAATTCATTTGTAATGCACGTAATTATATAAACATCAGCTCCAGTTAGTCTCTCACACGCCGCAAGTGGACAATGTAAAAGCGATTTTAAGTGGAGGGCTCTACGGAGGCCGCATCCCATAAAGTAGTTGAGAGTATATGAAGAATTATTGTGCTGAATATATTAAATAGCAAAAACAGGCCTGTCTGATGTTATCATTTAACAGATACCTCCAATTCATAACATGTGAATGGCAAGAGATTTTGTATAAATTCAGTAAGATTAAGTTCTTGTTTTCCTATATTCATGCAAAGTAAATGTTGTTTGTGCCATTCTATATGACATGGAAAAGAATCAGTTATCATATAATAAAAAGACATTAAGAATTCTGGTCGAAGATATGCATAATGCAGGAAGAAAACAGTGATTTATATATTTCGCTCTCTTTCGGATTTAACGACACTCAAAAACCAATAATACAAACGACAAGCTTCTCTTTTTTAAATGCATGCAATATACTCAGTTCCGATTCCCAGTGAAGATTGCACCAATAACATCAAGACAGATTGTCTGGTTTCGAATGATGCATAAAATACTAAATGAATGTAATGGGTACAAATGGCAAGATCAAAATTGTGGTAAGGCGCCAGTTATTTTAGCCTCTCCTTTTTTCGAATGATTTAGTAGAAAGCACAAAGCGTGAGCATAGAACTGGATATTCCTAATAGGGATTTATTCTGTTAACTCAGGGACCTGATGGAGACAAGTTGTTGTATCATCTCTTATTCAGTCATATTATTTACGCATAAAAGTATCTATACATAAGAAAACACACTCACCATACATACATACATATATGTGTGAGTGTTTGTCTGTGTGTGCACACCCGCGTAAGGAGAGATATTTAATTTTCATTCATTTCTATCCATAAGTGAAAACCAAACTTATTTCATCTAAAAATTATCTAATCTATAGAACCAAATATTTTCATATTACATTACGTCAATCCATAACATACTTTAGAAAGAATAAATTTCAAACAATTTTAGATAAAATAACGATATTTTAGGTTGCTTACATAAATGCAAGTAATTTTGCACACACACACACACGCACATAAGTATATAAGGTATCTTAACAAATTAAAATTATGTAAACTCTTGATGAGCGGATTATTTCTGGAAAACGTGAACTCAAGAAAGTAAGTCATGAAATAGTTATTTATATTCATTAAACACACCCACACATATGTATCTATATATACATACAAACATACATACATACATATATATATATATATATATATATATATATATATATATAGAGAGAGAGAGAGAGAGAGAGAGAGATCGGTGTATATTTTGGCAGCAATATAAATCTTCTTCAAGGTTCATTAAAGACAACTGACAACGTGCTGAGTTTGAGCTTTTAATTCAGTTTTTCTTCCATTTGTATTAGTGTTTTCTTTTCTGCGCAGAAAGTGTGTAAAAACTATCCAAGAATTCTATATATACTAGCGCTCTCAGTTATTCTATTAGACATAATCAAGGATGTTTTTTAGTGATTGAAATACGCTTTTATTTTCGAAACAGAGTCAGCACATTCTGACAGAGTCTGTACTTGATATAATTGTAAATGTTTTTCTTTCTTTTTTTTATTATTACTGGAAGCATTAATATATTATACATTTCCATCACTCTTGATTGGTGGGGGGGTAAAAATTATTAGAAGTAATTCATTTAACAAGGTGACCCAAAGGTTTGCATACCATTGTAATTATAACCGACACTCGCGTTTATATTTCTCCCATTAACTCCTTCAATATTTACTTACATCAATAAAGACATTATTTTAGTCCTATGATTTCCTTTAGTAGAACGAAACGCGTTATACCTATACTTTTTCCAAAATCTCATTCAATTGCCTAACATATATTTAGACAAAATTATATCATATTCTTCTTCCTCATATCTATCTATCTATCTATCTATCTATCTATCTATCTATCTATCTATCTATCTATCTAATTGTCTCTTTCACTTTCTATCTATCTATCTATCTATCTATCTATCTATCTATCTATCTATCTATCTATCTATCTATCTATCTTGCTCTGTCTGTTTGCCTTTTCGTCTGTCTATCTATCTATCTATCTATCTATCTATCTATCTATCTATCTATCTATATATATATATATATATATATATATATATATATATATATATATAGTAGCATTATCTGCAAACATGTTGTGAAACAAAAGATAACTACTCATATAAATATTTTAATGTATTTGAAAATATTCGAGTTTTTCCAGGATTTACAATTAAATATGTTCATCGCCAATATACTTTTGTGCATTGAAAGATAACTATTTTTTTCAAGAAATGAAAATTGATATTCTCTTTCTGTCTCCCTCACCAAAGGTTTATAGAATAATACAGATAAATATTGTAGCAACTTGAGTATTTTTCATTGTAGTTTCCAACTTTATATGTATCAAAATAAAGTACATATGCGTTATATTTTATAATGAAAGTTAAATTTGAAGTATACAATTTTAATGAACCAAATGAATGCAATAATTATCTTGCATTTCCTAACAATCCAAAAATGTTTATCTGATATTTTGCTGTCTTCGATTTGTTTCAATTCATGATGGCTATTCCTTAATTAGATTACAGCACGATTTATTTACCATACATTGATTTTAATTTAATCAAAAGGGAACAATTGTAAATAAATATCTAATATATGGGCGCTTGAAAGCATCTGAGTTTTTATAAATGTCCCCAAAGATAACGTTGGACAATATTAAAATATTTTTCAATACACGGCCACTTCCGTTAAAATACTTGATAGAGCACGCATAATTGCATAATTATGAGATAATCATTTACGCAGTAGGAATATTCCAGCGGTACGCTTATTTGCATTTGCTCGCATACTTTATAAGATAACCTTCAAAGAAATATACACTATATATATATATATATATATATATATATATATATATATATATATATATATATATATATATATATATATGAGTTTATAACTAAAGATTTCACGATTTTTTGCGATGCCGAGACTCACTGAAAAAGCTTGATACCTTGAGTTACAAACTCACATCAATACAGATTAAGTAAATAATTACCTCATATATATATATATATATATATATATATATATATATATATATATATATATATATATATATATATATATATATATATAAAACACATACATATATTATCTAAAATATATTATATATATGTTTGTGTATGTATGTGTGTGTTTTGTGAATATATATATGTGTGTTTGCGTGATTAAAATTTCAGATATGACCAAATACACATCCATAAAAATAGTGTATAAAGGAAAACCCATCTACATGAAAGTAAAAAAGAAAACAGTTAAATTCAAGTCTTTCTATCATCTAAAATTCATAAGTCAAAACACAATTTCTCAGCTAAAATAATATAAATAATAATTACATTATAAAAACGGAATAACATCATTTAGCCATTTTTTTAATAGACATTAAATTGATTCACTTCGAATCTGCCATAATTTAACACTCAGTTAACCGGAATTCTTAATTTTTTTCAATTCTGAAAAATTAAATTTTTTTAATTATGTGTATAAATACTGGTTGCAAAATAACATCCTTTGGTTTGTCTTGATAAAGTTTATCAGTGGGTGAAGCAAAGTGGGGTTTTAATTATATATATATATATATATATATATATATATATATATATATATATATATATATATATATATATATATATATGCAGGTCTGTGTGTTCATGCGCGCGGAGAGATAGATACAGAGAAAAACAGAGAGACAGACGCCTTCAACAATAGTATAACAGCATGGCCAATTCCATTGTTTTTGTTGTTCCCTGAAGTCATTTTGTTTTAAAATCAAAAGATGGAGACGAGACAAGTGTTTGGATTTCATCTTTTTTGTGTCGTATTTAAATTTAAATATGTTAAAATGCTTAGGACAAACTAACTTTTGTATCAGTTCGCTCCAATTTTATGGGAGCAAATAAATGGAACAGATTGTGTTGGAAGCATCTTTTGTGGGATTGTCCAGGTGTATGATAAACGTCCACCCTGTGTGAATTTCTCAGTAAATTGAAAGAGATAATGTTTCTGTAGACTTCCGAATTTAATTCTCCTGCTACAATCATGTGTTAGATCACCAATAAATGTGAATGAGCCAGTTCCATAAGCATTCAAACTAAGACACTGCCTCCACGAATCTTCACAGACGAGCTTGTATGCTCTGGATATTAAGCAGATTCTTTCTTCTCCCAGACTCTGGGCTTTATATATTTTGGTAGTTATTAATCTTGGTTTCATCAGTCTATAAAACTTCATTGTATGATTTTCTTGTTCATCTCTGTACTTCTTTGCCAATTCCAGTCAGCCTTTCGATTCTTATAGCAGATGATTTTTTTTTTGTTTGTTTTTTCTTGTGGTGTGTCTTCTACATTTCTGCTCTCAATGTCTTTTTCGTACAGTGGATTGTGAAATCTTCACTCTTACACTGTGGAAGTGGTTCGCCATGTCACTGACTGTTGATTTGGTTTTTTCTTCACAGATATCTCAATGTTCTTGTTATCAACTGATGTTGTCTTCCTAGGGCGACCTGTTCTATGATTCTTTTTCAGTACACCTGAAGTGGCTTTTATTTTCAGAACATTCAAATTTTGCGTATTTCTCATTCTCAATAGTTTTCCAGTGGCTTTGATAAATTTTCCTTCATTTCTCAGCTTCAAAATGGCTTGATTTTCTCCGCTAAACAGCTTTCTCGTCTTGATGTTGGTTTTTATTTTTAACAATAAATGCATTCATTACAGGTGGAACCCAGGGATAAAACTAAATGTGGTCATTCAGTGAGGTTTAATGATTTGACAAACAATCTAAAAGGGAAACAAGAAAAACCTTCATTAACGTGCTTCAATAGTTTTGTTCCCTTAAAAATGGCTGGATTCAAGCAAAAAGGTGATATGTCCTAAGTTGTTTAACACATCTAAATGTAGATACCAGAAAATAAAGGGACAAATTATGTTCTCTCGTCTCCAATTCATCATTTGATATTTTTCAACCAAGCAGTCTTAAGTATACAACCAAAAGGAAGGAATCAGATTGCTGTTCCATTATATTTGTATATATATATATATATATATATATATATATATATATATATATATATGTGTGTGTGTGTGTGTGTGTGTGTGTGTGTGTGTGTGGTACACATACCTCTGTGTGTGCGTGTATATGAATATGCCTATATTTGCGCGTATGTGTATGCGCGAGCTAGTGGGTGGGTGCTTGTATGTTTTTCTATAAATATGCTTATATATAGATAAATGCTTTTATATATATATATATATATATATATATATATATATATATATAGTTGTTTCTATAATATATATATATATATATATATATATATTTATCGACATATCTAGCATTTTACATTAACAGACTCTCCATACTATATCATTATATAAAATAATTGCACACTTCATTTCAAATATTTATATCCTTCTTGCAGCATCAGTGAAGTTAGCATGGAATCATATCCAGTTCTTATTTCTATGAAATTTCATGAATAACAAAATCTCAAATTGTAGCACTTGATAGGCTCTTTCAGCAACAAACCGTTCATATATCAGCCGCTTACAAAGAGAAGCGAATGTCATATTGCTGGTCTGAATGAAGAACCCGCCAATCGAGATTTTTAACCAGTCAGAGTAAATTAGTACCTCTTTGCTGAAAAGCAAGTTATTGTAGTATTTAGTGAGAACTGGGGCTAGTTCCGAAGCACATTGGAATGTACCCTCTCCCTTGGTCGAGCATGCTTCTCCACAACTTCCTATGAATTATAGTATTATTAACTTTTTCTTTCTGCCATCCATTCCTCTTCATCCCAGATTAAAGGAGGTATAACATCAAGTTCACATACTTTATGGGAGCCCAGTTTAGAGATCATAGCAAGAACCATGTAAGTTATATGTATATCCCACAGAGGAAACACAGTTCTATGTGGAAATAGGTCAAATATATTCCAGATTAATTACGAGTGGTACATTGGAGGATTTCCTAGGTATTTAAATTTTAATAATTGCTTAATTTCGACATCGCCAAAACGAAGTTGTTATCTTGGCCTTCTCTTTCTGACATCCATTCAATTTGCCGTACCGATGTCTCTTTTGTTAAACGCATAAAAATTTAGCCTAACATGGATTCCCTTTTAATAGGTGAGTAGAAAACGGTTATAAACCTTTTGTAGTTGAGATGTTGATTCAATTCTAGCAGTAGACTTTTATTTTCACTCTAATTTTATTTCTCCGGCTTTCGTGATAAACACAATGCCATCTTCTTTTCGCTGTGAAGGACTTAAAAGAAAGCTAACATCGGATAAATTTTGGAAACCCTTATCGTAGCTATAGATAACAATCATGCAAGATTAAATGCATCTGTGAATACATTCCATTCAGTATGCCGTAAATTGATTTCAAAATTGCTTGGAAATGATGTAGACATTTATGAGGACATTGAAGGCACTTACAGAATCATATTTCTAGATAAAGACAACGACTTTAAAAATATTTTTGACACGCAAGTCATTCGAATGTTTTTGCAAAGGTAAATGAATTAACTTTTTAATAAATTGAGTTTAAAATACATTCATTTGATGAAGTAGCAGTTTATGCCCGTGGTTTTAACCCATTTGAAAGCAAATGAAATATTCTGAAAAGTGTGGTTTACAAAATGTACAGGGTCATTAAAATATAACTCCCTATTTGATGTATGATGAACTCTCCTGTCTAACTCTAATATTTACAAGACAGTCGAGTCCATCATATGTAAAAAAGAAGAGGTACTTTTGAATCACCTCGCAGTTCATCAATATACTCGAATCTTTAAAGTTAAATTCAGAATAGTATGTTGTGACTAGGTTGCTTACCTGCTAAATTACTTCGCGGATAAAATAAAGTGTCATCCATTAAACTAAATGCGAAAGACTAAAATAAACATTTTCTACGATGTGCCGTAACTCTTCAGGACGTTCTCTATCATGACACTCAAAAC